AGAGGAGAGGAGAGGAGGGGAGAGGAGAGGAGGGGAGGGGAGAGGAGAGGAGGGAAGAGGAGGGAAGGACAAAATACGAGAGGAGAAATTGATCGGAGGAGATGTGTTGGTGGACTTTTTGAGGAGTTGAGGTCGCGGAGTCTGGGAAAAGAGGGAGGAGAAGGGGGAAGGCAGGGGGAGATAGTTGAAGAGGAGGCTAGTGACGAGCTGCCCTCAGATAAATTCTATCATCTCGCCAAGGAGCAGGGGTACCGATCTCGAGCAGCGTTCAAGTTGATCCAGCTGAACAAGAAGTTTGACCTCCTGAGCAAGGCGAAAGTCGTTCTCGATCTCTGCGGTGCTCCAGGATCATGGTCGCAAGTAGCCGCCAAGAACTGCCCTGTCTCCTCCATCATTCTCTGCGTCGATCTCTGCCCCATCAAGCCCATCAAGCGTGTCATCGCGCTGCAGGTGGGAGGAGAGGAGGAAGAGAGAGAGATGGAGGAGGAGAGTGAGAGGCAGAGGCAGAAGGGTTGGAGAGGTGAGGAGGGGAAGGGAGGGAGAGGTGAGGAGGGGGAAGGAGGGGCGAGAAGGGAGTGATAGAGGAGGGAGGGGGAAGGGGGAACGAGAGGAGGAAGAGAGAGAGATGGAGGAGGAGGAGGAGGATTGTCTTGTGTTTGATGGCGTGAGGACAGGAGGACATCACAACCGACAAGTGCAAAGCAGCAATCAAGAATCACATCAAGACCTGGAAGGTCGACTTGGTCCTCAACGATGGTGCGCCCAACGTGGGAGCGAACTGGACCAAGGACGCCTACAGCCAGTCAGAGCTGACGCTTCAGGCTCTGAAGCTTGCTACCAACTTCCTTGCTCCCGGAGGAAACTTCGTGACCAAAGTGTTCCGATCGGCAGACTACAACTCTCTCATCTGGGTTCTGAACCAGCTCTTCAAGCGCGTAGAGGCCACGAAGCCGCAGGCGTCTCGTAACGAGTCTGCAGAGATCTTTGTGGTGTGCCTGGGATACCTGGCTCCGAAGAAGATCGATCCGAAGCTGCTGGACCCGAAGAACGTGTTCGAGGACGTCAACGATGGGCCGGCGAAGAAGGCAAACGTGCTGCAGCAGAAGAAGCTCAACGTCAGGCACAGGGACGGTTATGAGGAAGGAATCACGATGCTGTACAAGGAGATCTCAGCCGAGGAGTTTGTTCTCCACGAGGATGCGCTGCAGGTCCTGACAGACTACAACAAGATCGTGTTCCGGGAGGGGCATGAAGTAGACGAGCAGCTGCTGGAGCACGAGAAGACCAACGAGGAGGTTAAGGAGTGCTGCAAGGACCTGCGCGTGCTGGGGAAGGGAGACTTCCGCAAGCTGCTCAGGTGGAGGGACAGCATGAAGGAAGTGATCCAGGAGGAGCAAGAGAGCAGCGACACGGAGGGCAGCCAGGAGGGAGGGGAGGGGGAGGCGAACGAGAACGACGAGGAGAAGCTGTCACGCGAGATCAGCGAGCTGAACAAGAAGGCGCAGGCGCGAGAGAAGAGGAGGAAGAGGAAGGAGAGGGAGAAGAAGGCTAAACATCAGCGCCGCATCGATCTCAAGATGGACATCGTCGGGGATCAGCTGGAGACGCAGGAGGAGCAGGGGCTGTTTGCCTTCAACGACAAGACCAAGATGGTGGAGTCTGAAGTTTCCTTGGATCAGGCAGACAAGTACGCCATGGACGGAGGGAGCGGGGACGACGAGGTGACGGATAGCAGCGACGGGGAGGAGGAGGATGAAGATCTGTCAGACGAGGAGAGGAGGATGAAGATGATGGAGAAGGAGATGGACCTGCTCTACGAGAGCTACTGCGAGAGGAGAGGAGTGAACCTGAAGAAGCAGAAGAGGAAGAGGAAGAGCGGGTTGGACGACGAGGACCTCGACGAGTTTGTCCCGGACATGACGAAAGACATCTACGATGACAGCCAAGAGGAGGGCGGAGACGAGGAGGAGGAGGTCGGCGAGGAGGACGGCGAAGAGGACGGCGAGGAGGACGAAAAGGAGAGAAAGAAGAAGTCCATGGCCCTCAAGTGGTTCTCTCAGCCTATCTTCAGTGGGATCGACGTTTCTGCTCTAGACAAGGAGGCAGCTCAGGAGGAAGGGGAGGAGGGGGGGGAGGCTGCTGCTGCCCCAGCAAGAAGAGGAACAAGGGATCCAAAGCTTCCGGCTCGGGAGGAGGAGGAGCGATAGGACCGGCCCCGAAGAAAGCCCAGAAGAAAGGGAAGGAGGAGGAGGAGGAGGAGGAAGGAGGAAAGGAGGAGGAAGATTTCGAGGAGGTGGCGATGAGCGATAGCGACCTGTCGTCGATGGACTCGGAGGAGGAGGCAGAGATCGGGGCGCTGGGGTCGCTGCTGCTGAAGAAGAAGATCAGGAAGGAGGAGCTGATCGACGCGTGCTATCACCGCTACACGTTCAACGACGGGCACATGGCGCCCAAGTGGTTCCAGGACGAGGAGAGGAAGTTCAATAAGCAGCAGCTGCCCATCACCAAGGAGATGATCGCGGAGGAGAGGAGGAAGAACCTGGAGATCGCGGCTCGCCCGATCAAGAAGGTCATGGAGGCCAAGGCGCGCAAGAAGCTCAAGGCCGTCCGGGCGATGCAGAAGCTCAACAACAAGGCTGACGCGATCACCAACGACGGAGACATCTCGGAGAAGGCGAAGATGAGGGCCCTGCAGAAGCTCTACGACAAGGGAGTGGCGGTGAAGAGGCCCAGGAAGGTGGCGGTTGTTGCCAAGAAAGGATCAGTGTCTGTTGGAAAGAAGGGAGTCAAGATTGTGGATAGGTGCTCCTCTTCGCTCTCCTTCCCCTCCCTCCCTCCTCCTCCTCCTCCTCTTCCCTATCCTATCTCGCTCCTCCTGTTCCTTACTTGTTCGCACTCCTCCTCCTCCTGCGCTTGTCTATTCACCTGCTTCTTGTACCTGACGTGCACCATCAGGCGCATGAAGAAGGATTCAGCTGCTACGATCCGCACGGGCAACCGAAACTTTAAGGGAGGGAAGAAGGGCAACAGAAAGAAGGCAGAGGTGAGAGACGAGGAGGAGGAGGAGGAGGAGGAGGAGGAGGAGGAGGAAGGAGGAGGAGGAGGAGGAAAGTAGGTGACATGGTTGCCAGGCTATGGCACGAGCACGTGCCCCGAAGAAGACGATCAGCAAAGGAAGGAGATAAGGCAGCAGCTACAAGAAGAGGAGGCTGCTCATGTACGTGTAGCTCTTGTTGTACATGCAGATCAAGACAAACCACACTCCCTTTCCCTCTTCCCCTCCCTCTCTCTTCCTCCCCTCCTATCTCCCTCCCTCCCTAACCTCCTCTCCCACTCTCCATGCCTCCCTCCCTCTCCTTCAGTTCGCTTCTTCTCAGTCTGCCACCGGCATTCCAGACCTCAATCGAGGTCATGTTAAAACCTCAGCTCCCATTTCCTCCGTCATCCAGAAGTTTCGTCACGAGTGTCATATGATACCATTTCATACATACTATCCACCTTCCCTCCCCTTCTCCCTTCCCTCCCCTCATCCCTTCCTCCCCTCATCCCTTCTTCGCTCTTCATAGCCACTTCATCAGACTAGCACAACATTCCGCTGTAGTTTTTAATAAGATAGAAGAGCTCACTGACCGCCAAGGGTGGGGAGGGTCTCCTCGACCTTGTTGTAGGAGTCGAGGAAAGCAGCGCAGGGAGTCTTGGGGTCGGCACGGAGGGTCTCGCAGAACTTGATCTCGCAAGTCTTCTTTCCCTTCTTCGCGGCCTTCCTGACGCCAGCGGCGACCTTGGGCTTGAGCACCTTCTTCTTCGCCTCTCCGACCAGGTTCTTGGCCTTCTCGGCACGCTTGAGCTGTAGAGCATGTCAGACTGCTGAGGGAGAAGCCGGAGGTTGAGGATAAGAGAAAAGCGACAACAGCATGAGGCACGAGAGGACGGAAAAGGGATAAGGTTGGAAGGAGGTTCCACACCTGAGCAACGTAGGGGTTGAGCTTCAACATGGTTCCGAGGTTCTTGAGAGGGTTCCTCTTGCGCGAAGGCTTGGCGAAGCCAGCCTTGGCAGTGCGGACCTTGGACTGGATCTCGTCGGAGTTGATGATGCGAGCGAGATCGGCGTTGGTCATCATGCTGCGGGGGAGGGTGAAGGTCTTCTTGATCTCCGAGGGCTTGTCGTAGGATCCGAAGATGCTGCCACTCAGTAAGACAACTGAAGATCGCGCGAGGAGCAGGAAGATGACAAGGGAAATGTGACAAGAGGTGGAACAGGAAACGGAGGAGGGGAACAGGGAAAGAAGAGCCACCTGTCGAGCTTCTCAAAGGCGGACTGGGTCCAGATGACGAAGCGGCCGAGGTGACCACCAGGAGCAAGCTTGAGGAGGTTGAGGCGATCAACGCAGGCGATGTCGAGGCCGGGGATGTTCCTAAAGGCCTGCTCGATGCCGTTGTTGTTGGCGTAAACGAGGAGAGGTCCCTTCCTCTGCACGTATCTCCTGTTCCTCATCTTACCCTTGCCACGACGGATCTTCCTGGAGTCCTTGACATGCTCGATGTCATCCATGGCCTTGATGAGCTTGAGGAGGTCGAGGGCGTGCTTGGTCTTGGTGTACGACTCGATCTCGTTGGAGACAACAAGGGGAACCTCAGAGACGTTGTTCACACGGTGACCGCGGGCCATGAGGAGAGCTGGGACGGAGGAAGCAGCGAGGGCAGAGCACACAGCCACACGCCTCTCGTTGGTGTTGGTCTTGGCAGTCCACTTGCGCCAGGTCTTGGTAGGGTTGAACATGCGTCCACCTCTGCACATGTTACCGAAGGCTCCCTGGCCGGATCGGTGGGTTCCTCCACCACAGATACGGGGGATACGGGACACAGCACGACCAGTTCCCCACGAAATGGCAGACTGCTGCATACCGGCCTTGGAGTTGACAGCATAGGGCTGGCGCTTGTTCTTCGCCATGTTGGTGTGAACCCTGTGGACGATGTCCTGACGGATAGGGGTGAGGAGGACGTGGGGGAGGGGGAGGGAGCCGACGCTCTTCCCCTCCTCCGTCGCCGACATGACCGACACGACAGGACGCGCTGCCATGGCCTGAGCTGCTTCCACGAGCTCGTGCACCTGGAAAAAAAGACCACCCCCCTACCCCTCAGGTGTGGACCCTTCATTCTTCGCCAAGCACCCCACACTTGGGAAATCATCGTGAAAAGGTGGGTTATTGCGTTAGGAAATTTAATTGGAAAATGGGGGTACTTAATACACCCACCCTGGGGCAAAAAGCAAATTCCTCACCCCCACCCCATCTGATTCCTTGACCCCTCATACAGCCACTCATCGATGTGATGTGGGGGATGAGGGCGAAGGCATTCTTCATGGGTGGGGTAGTCAACAGAATAATAGGGGGTCCAGGGTTTATTGAGGGTAGTCCTCAGAAAACAAGGGTGTCGGGAGGGGATTGAGGGGGTAGGGGTGAACATAGTGTGGTATGAGGGCCACCCGGAAATAGATCATGGCGCCAGCGGCTGGTTGGGAGAAATCGATGGACAAGTGAAGCGGTAAGAAGAGCAATTCTGAGATGGCAGAAGGCGAAACTCTGATAGCATCAGCGATCATGTGTGGCAGTGAATGCTGAAGATGAGTGCGACCTCGAGAGAGCAGGGGAGGATGGAAACGAGGCTAGGGGGAAGAGAAAGGATCTAGTTGCTAAGCGGTTGATCGGAGGAAAGAATGAACCCGGAGAGAGATTAGATGGAGAAAAGGAGTGATGATGGTTAGTTATTTCTTGTTCACTTGATCAGCTTGGCTGGCTGATCAAAATCTTTTCCTATGTGTGCTCAGTGTTGTAGGACAGGACAGGCAGACGTGGATTGATTGTAGTGCCAAGGGGTTGCCGCTAGAGCTGGCCGATGACTGAAGAGATGACATGATGTGCAGAAGGCGTGAGAGACTGAAAGTGAAGTAAAGATGAACCCTACCCCTCTGGAACCAGGCGCCGAATCGAGGAGGTCAGATGGCACAGCAGAGTGGAACAGGAACGAGGGACCCCCTTCGAGCAGAGTATCCAGAGGTCTGTGCATGAGCATCGCTTCTTGTGCCTGATGCTTCTCAGGGTTCAAACGGACATGCTCCTCCTCCGTTGGTCAGAGGAGCAGCCTGTCGCATGTCCAATCACTGAAGCAGCTCGGGCTGAAAGATATTGACCTTGTAGGAGTCTCGACTTTGACTCAAGGAGGGAAGAAAAGGATTCCGATCTCCGATTGGCTGGCACTTGCCGCTGCGATCCAGAACAACACCGGCACCCTCGCGGACCATGCAGACCGGGGCATCACCTACTACAAGGAGTACCGCAAGACAATGTGCCGCAACTTCTTCTTTACGACCATCTTTGGGTTGATCTGTGCGGTCTGGGCTAACGAGATCCGGTATGGCTTCAAGAACTCCAACTCCTTCCAGTCGCTCTCTCTCGAACTGACCACTGTAAGTCGCCTCCTCTCCCTTCCCCTCCCCTCACTTGCGCGACCAGATGGTCTCAACCGCCATCGCCTTCTACTACCTGTGGCAGTATTACCATGCTGAGCTGTGTGTAATGCGTCTCAAGGGATGCAATATCGCTCCAGGTAGAGCCGTCGCATCCTCCGCGTCCTAGCTCACAACTCTCCGTCCTCCTGCAGGGTTCTCAGTCAGGGCGCTGAAGGGGGCGAACCTCTGGGGGCAGCTGATCCGAGACGTTCTCATCTTGCTCCCACAGCCCTATCCCTTCATAGACATCACGTTTTCCGTACACGACGCGGGGCTGAACAGGAACTCGGTGTACTCGATCTCGGTAATGTGAGAGTGAGGGTTTGTTCGCTGGTGACGAGGAGACATGGCAGGTTGTGCTGCTGAGCCTCATGTTTTTGCGGATTTATTTCCTTCCCCGATACTTCTCGTAAGCCCCAGTTGCCTCTGACTTCTCCTGGTGACCTTTGGGGCCCCAGTCATTGCATCCAGGACATCTACACTGATGACTTCGACGTCTTCTGCGCTCTGAACAAGACGCTTGTCAACGATTCGTTCCTGATTCGGACGACCATGTCGACAGTGAGTGGTTGTGATTGGTGCAGCGTATGACTTACATGCCCAACTTTGCAGTCCCTGACGGCGGTCATCAGTATGTTTCTCCTGCAGATTATTCTTTACAGCTACATGATGATGATGTTTGAAAGGCCGACGGCAGAGGTCAGACCTTCTCGACCTCCCCCTCCTAGTCGCTGTCTCGCTCCTTTCCCCGTTCTCTGATCAGCACCACCGTCAGTTTTCTGCTGTTTCCTCCTCCCTCCTCCTCCTCCTCCTTCCTGCTCTCCAAATCCTTCATCATCATCATCATCTCATCATCATCATCTTGCTTCTCTGAAAAAAGTCTTGCTCATCTGCGTTCACATCTCTTCCTGTCCTGCTCTTCTAAATTTTCATAACAGGGCCCGCTGCGCAACCTCTTCAACAGCATATGGCTTATCATAGTGACCATGACGACGGTCGGGTATGGCGACGTGTACCCGAGCACCCGACTGGGGAGACTTGTCGCCATCTCTGCCTCCTTCAGCGCCCTCATCATGATTGCCATCTCCATCAACCTGGTCCAGTCGAGCCTGGAGCTGTCAAGCAGGGAGCGGAGGGTGTGGCAGCCCTCGTGCGATCGTGTCAGGGCCGTTGAGTTGGGCTGCAGGTGATTACCAAGCATGAGTCGAGGTTGCAGTACAAGAAGAATCAGCGGAGCGCTGCTAGGCTGATCTTGGCAACTCTGAGGGTGAATGTTGAGAGACTCAAGGTAGCATCCTCCTCCTCCTCCTCCTCCTCCTCCTCCTTCCTCCCCACCATCGGCTCTCCCGTCCGTTCCCTCATCATCATCCTCCTCCTCCTCCTCCTCCTCCTCCTGCTGCTCCTTCCCAGCCCCTCTTCCTGCTTCCGTCTCCCCTTCCCCCTGCGCTCTCTCTCCCTTCCCTACATGCTTTCACTTTCTGACCGCTTCAAATGTCATCTTCTGATCGCACTCGCTCTTCAGGCCGCAAGGAATCCTCCGCAGGAAGAGAAGGTCGACCTGGAGGACCTCAGATCCGAAGTGAAGAAGCAGGAAGAGTTGGGCTCGGTAACTTGCAACCTGCCCTGCTCCTCGCTTGACTCGACCTCCTTCAGCTCAACTCCGCACGGTCACAGCAAAGCGAGAAGCAAAGTGAATCTTTGCTGGTGAGACATCCGCCTCTCCATCCTGTTCTTGTTCTTTTCTCCCTCATCTCATCCTCATCCTCATCCTCATCCTCAGCCTCGTCCTCGTCCTCGTCCTCGTCCTCGTCCTCATGGTTGCCTTCACTCACCGTGTTGCCTCCAGGGGACGTGGAATCCGCTGACGATCGTCGACTATCTCCTGCCCAAGAACCCGGCCTCCAAGGTCGTCAGCTCGGAGAAGGAGATCCCTGGGGGAGGACGCGGGCGGCCGACCAAGACGGTCATCTACGGGAATCAGGTGAGCGCCTGAGCGCGTGCGCGACTGGCTGATGGGCTGGCAAGTTGCCGCTGCCGGTTCTGATGGCGGAGGAGAAGTGGCACCTGGCTATGAGGGACTTCCGGCAGAATCAGGTGAGGGAAGGAGGAGCGAGGAGGAGGAGGAGGGGAAGAGGATGATGGAAGAGGGTGACTCTGGATCCAGCGAGATGCTCTACATAGCGAGATGGCGCAGGAATGTGACGTGGTCACCACGATTTTCGAGGTCAGCGCCCTGCTGGAGACTTGCAAGGTGAGGAGATCAGCTGGGGGACAGCTTGGGTTGACGCGCCTCCTCCAGTTGAAGATGGACAATGCCGAGGAGATGATCGATTCGACGGTGAGGATGTTGCACGAGCTGATATCGCTGAGCGAGGAGGAGCCGTGAAGGCAGTTGATGTTCTCATGTTGTAAAGTTAAGGAGCGAAAAAATGCACATAAGCACCTCCACAACTTCTCCTCCTCCCATCGCTATCCCCCGTTCCCTCCCTCTCTCTCCCCCTTCCCCTAGCCCCTCGTCCTCTCTCATGCTGCTGCGAGCCTCCTTAGATGTGCGGGGCTCCTCTGCTCCACATGCCTGCAGGAGGGGAGGGCTGAGCTGGCACTGGAACCTGCGGCGCCATCCTGCTCGACGCGCTCGTCGTCTCTTCGCTCCCCGACGAGTTCCCTGCCGTGCCGGTCAACCTCCCCAGCTACAACCCGAGCTCTCACCCTGGGGACGAGGCACCCACAGCCTCGTCGTCTCATCTGCCGCGTTGGGCGACCGGCTCATCGGATCGTCCGGCTCCCTGCCATCTCAGTCATTCCCCAGCTACCACTCCAGCTGGACTGGAACCTCTCCGTCCCCCTGATAAACGACAGCGTTACGGTTCTTCCCGTGTCAGTGCCTGCTGGTGGTCAGCTGGGGAGGAACAGGTGAGGTCTCACCGTAGAGCACGCAACCACCAAGGACGGGCTGCCACTCGCACGCGTTCAAGACGTCGTTGGATGAGGTGAAGTCACGAACCTGCAAGTTGAAAGTGAGAAGGAGAGGAGAGGAGGAGAGGAGGAGAGGAGGAGCAGGAAGAGAGGGGGGCGTGGCCGGAACTGGTGAGTAGGGGAGCAAGCGAACTCAGAGAGTCAATACGGGAGAGAGGAAGAAGAAAGTGGAGTAGTGTCTGCATGGAAGAAACAGAGAGGAACCCGAGCAAGGCAGGACGAGAAGGAGCAGCGGTAGCAAAAAGGAAGAAGGAAGAAGGAGCAAGACCAGGCTGAGCGCATAGTCCGTTGACTTGTTGTTGTCTTCGTTGTCGAAGCGATACAGCTCGAGGCCCCTCTTGAGCCTCTCGGCTGTCACAGGCCGCATGTCTCGCCCCCCTGCTCAACGGTCACGAAGGGGAGTGAGAGGCGTCGACTTGCCGTATCCTACGAGGAGGTACTGACAAGACGCTGAGAAACGGATGCAGGTGATCTTGGCGCTCTTGGATATGGGAGCTGTACACCTGGAGGTGTCATGCTGTCAGGCGACGATGTTGTGTCTTGCTACTCCTCACAAGACTTGCGCGAAGGTAGACTGTACAAGAGAGATGATGGCGATGTATCCTGAGGACCTTGTTGTAAGCAAACAAGTGAGGCGTCAGGGGGAAAGGGGGCACTTGCCGTCACAGTGAGCGATGGGGCCCTGGGGCTCCTCCTCCATCTCGTTCGCGTCCTCTCCTGCGCTCTGTGCTGGGTTGTCTGCCCTTTCGACGTTGGCAACGTGCGCCATAGTGCCTTGCAGGAGGAGGTTCGAGCTCTGATAGGCGCTCTGCTCGCTCTGCATGCGGCTGATCTGATGAGCATCGTGGACGAACTTCTTCCTGCCGTCGATGGGTCCCGGCAAGCAGACGGCGAGGTATCGACCACAGGGAGAGATGCAGGTTCCGCTCTCGCTGTACACCAGGACGACACGGAGGAAGTCGCCTTCGGGGACAGACGGAGAAAGAGAGTTGAACGTTCGGAGCTCGTTGTTGAGGTCTCGGAGCCTCACGCAGAAGTGAGGGGAGGTCGTTTGCTGCCCGTTGTTGTTGTTGGACGACTCCAAGGACCGCACCTCGCAAGTCAGGAGCCACTTGCCATTTGGGTGGAAGTAGATACACAAGATCCCGATGCTCGTCTCGAACACTTTCCTCGGCCGAGAATCTTCAACGGAGATGTCCCAGAAGAATAGCTCCCTCCCGCACGAGGCAGCGATCAGAAACTTCTCCGGGTGAAAGGCAACCGAGGTAACGCGCTCGGTCCCCAGAGAGGCGAAGCGGAGGCAGGTCTGTGTGTGGATGTCCCATACCTTGAGGTCTCCGTTGAGACAACCTGAGACCAGCAGGTTCGACTGCAGCCGATGGAAGCGAAGAGTCCAGGGAGTGCGGGTGTGACCCTCTAGGACAGCAATTGTCTGCCCTGTTAGTACGGAGATGATCCTGATGGTGTGGTCCCCATGAGACGTGGCGAAGTAAGCACCTGCCAGCCATCGGGCGTGAGTGTCCTGCTCACAACCAAGAGATCAGCCTCACCGTCAGGGCTCGCAGCTACAGCAATCGTACATCGTACATCAGCGGGCAAATCAAAAGGCTTCTCTGAAACCTGCCAAGGGGAATTTAGGAATGCAGAGATTAGCGATGATCTGTTTACATCTCCGTGCTCGACTATACTCTTCTCAAGGAATGATTTGACTCTTCTGCAAGCAAGCTTTCTTTCCCTAACCAATGATCAACTTCCAACTTGGATGTAACCGAACGGCAGGACCTTTTGAAATCATGCCAGCCTGTTTCGAAACCCCTCAGCAGTCCAGAAAGGCGCTTGTGGGAAGGGACATGTTCTGCTCATGCTCAAGTCAAAGTGGGTGGAGATCATATCCTTGTACCACCTGATCCTGGAGAGCTGTGCAATTCTGCTTGCGCGTTTTCCATATCACGCAGACCCTGCGAAGATTTCTGTCACACCTCGTCACTGTTTGAGTCGTATGAGGTTCAGAGTGCACGCTGTTGAAAACTATTTCAAACTATCTTTCCCCTTTACCAGCACAACTTTGTGATAGCGGATCAATGCCTACAAGGCACAAGGGCAAGCAACGGTTTTGACGAGAAAACACGCACGACTTAGATTCAACAAAGCAACCAGACCAGGAGACACAGTTGCAAGGAGGAAGCTATCTTGAAGATTCCATGACTTCAGGCATGAATGGAATCCAAACAGAAGAAAAGATGGATAGAGGCGGTGACATGAGATCAGATAGAGGTGGTGGCATGAGATCAGAACAGCATCAAAGAATGATGGGCCGCCCTTGAATAATTGATACTACCATCAGAGAGTGATGATGACATGTCATGCTATAGACTAGGGCTGGGGGAGTGTCAAAGACATGCGAACATCGTATCGCACGTAAGGAGATAGAAGCATCATGGAACAAGTTGACTTGTGAAAGCTAGTTGAGGTTTTGAAAGCTAGATGCTTGCAAGGCTCTCTGCCATCCACCATCACTGAAATCAACCTCTGGAAATAAATCTATCCGTCACTATCTTGCTCTGTGTCAACATTCTATTCCGGCTCTTCGCCTTAGCCTCACACCAAACTGAAAATATATCGTATTCTTGTGCTATGATCATCAACAACTTCATCCACTTTGCTTCCATTGCCAACGTGCGAGACGTCCAATCGCGTTCAATCACCCTCCTCGACCAAACATCCTTTTGTCTTTGTGGATCCCGCTTTCCCTGCTTGCTCTTCTCATCCTCCATCGCTATCATCTGCATTTTTTATTGAGTTTCGTCATCTTGGCCCTGCATTCCCGCTTCTCCTCTCCTCCTCTCCTCTCGCATTCCCTTCTCCAGCCGCTTCACGTCACGGCATAGGAGGCGAGGACGTGAGTAGGCCAAAAGTGGGGTAGGGTGAAAAGCCAGAGAAATAGGGGTAGGGGTGTGTGCATGTTGGGGTAGTAATGGGGAACAGAGGGTGTGTAATGTACAAAATGGGGGTGGTCGAGGGAAGAGGGTGGAGGACGGTGGGTGGGTTTCCAGGCAGGAGACGATTGCAGGGGTGGGTGGGTGACGTATTGTGGGAATAGAGGGAGGGGGTGGATGATATGAGATTATGGGGGTACTTTCAACAAGGGGGTAGGTGCGAGGGGTGGGTAGGCAAATGGGGTAGTCAAAATGGGCCACAAGTGTCTTTTTCGTGACGATAAATGGGTGGGGTAGTCGTGTGGTGTTGGGTAGGGGTAGTAGCTGAGAGACAATAATCCCAGAATTGCCGAGGGGTGGGGGTGGTCCTGTTGGTCTCTAAAAGCAATAATACAAATAAAAATGTGAGGGGGTAGGGTAGTGAATGATGCTGTACCTAGTTTAGGAAGGTGTTTGCAGGGAAAATTGGGGGTAGTGGGGTCATCTAATGGTGATAGCAGAGAGGGTAGGGGACCCAAAATTGTCCAGTATGAGGGTCTGGCGTGAGCCCGGGCCCCGGCGGCCGGGCGGCGCGGGGCCGGCCGGGCCGCCCGACCCGGTCACGGGTCGAGTCCGGGGCACTCCCGGAGCCCGGAGCCTCGGACTCCGGTAGGCCACCGCGGACTGGCCCGGCGGCAGGCTAAGTGTTGGCACCGCCGCCGGGGCGCCGGGGCCCGGGGGGGCGCGGGGGCCGGGCGGCTGCGCGCGCCGCGGCCGGAGGCTGGCAGTCGGACGGCCGGGCGGCCCCGGGGACCGGGTCACTGTGGCCCCGGGGGCGCCGGGGCGGCCCGGCGTTTGCCAACTGATCAACCTCACTCAAGGCAGCCAGCCTGTGATCATCTGGCATCGGATCATTGTGCCCGGATCCCCCGGTAGCCTCACTAGTAGTACCGTCCGGTCGCGGGGGCCGCAGCGGCGGCTCCGGGGCGCCGGCTCAGCGGGCCCCCGCCCGCTGTCCAGGCTCGACTGAGTCGCGGGGCACCGAATCGTACGCCGTACGATTCGGTGACCCGCTTAGAACGGTTCTAAGCCTTGATGTTTCGATGATTGCCAGGCCGGCCGGCCGCCGGCCGGCCCGAGGCCCCCGTTCGGCCCCCCCCGGCGCTGGCAGCCGGCGGCGTCACCGAGCCTCAGGCTCGACTCGAAGGGTCACTGGAGGCTGAACGGTCGGACGCCGCCGATGGCTCTCGGAGCTCACCGTGTGAGTGACTCGCTGGTTCCGATCATCGGGCCGCGCGGCCGCGCGCGGCGAGGCTCGGAGCCTCAGCCTCCTCTCTGTTAGTGAGGAAACAGTTGGATTTGTGTAACGGAAGGGCCAGGCCAAGGTGCCCGACATGGCTGCGATGGCGGAGGTTTCATGGTACCAGCAGGTCATGCTCAAGTGCGAAGAGATGAGAAAGAGGTAAGGAATGTGAAACAGCATGGAACACGTCTCGAATCAAGATGTCAGAAGGAAATTTGATGGGAGCGGAAGAGAATCGTATGAGGTGATGGGGATATCATGGTGGAAGCTCTTAGAAGTGAAGAGGAGACGAGATCATGTTTGGAGTATAACAGAGGAGAGAGGAGAGAGGAGAGAGGAGAGAGGAGAGAGCAGAGAGCAGAGAGCAGAGAGCAGAGAGCAGAGGAGAGAGACTCTGGTACTCTGTCTGACGCAGTAGTATCCGTGGCATGAACACTGCCATCAGAATCCCTGTCACAGTCAAAGTCTGCAGGAACTGACGTAGCCTGTCTGCAGAGGATCTTGTTAGAACTAGGACAGGGATAGGGATTCACTCAGAGCCGTCGAGGTGTAGGATGAAGCAGGAACCATTCCTCGTGCTGTCCGAGCTCGACTAGGCTCGAGCTGCAAGAATGAAACACAAAGTGTCTGTACATCGACGTTGACATAGAGGGTTCAGGTTGGAATCAGAGGATTCAGTGTTGACCGACGTGTCCAAGGACTCGAAGCACTTCACTACCAAGTCGACGGTGAGGGAGGGACAGCAAGCCTTCACCTCTCCTCCTCCCTTCGTTCTCCATCTTTCCTCCTCTCTGTTTCCTCCTGACACGTCAGATAGGTGGGCATGATGCTCAACGGATGCTCGATAGAAAGCATGGTATGCTCGCCCCTGCCCCGCCTCTTCCTCTTCCTGATGCGCGTGTTCAGGTTGTGGGGGGTCCTGCCTTCAACTCGCACATGCTGGAGCGAGGAGACACCATCATCGAGGTTGACGAACGACCAGTCGACGCCAACACCATCCTTGACGCGCTCGGTATCCTTATCCTCTCCTTTCCTCCCCTTCCCCTTCGACCTTATCCTCGTCCTCGACCTCGACCTCGTCCTCCTCCTCCTCGTCCTCCTCCTCGTCCTCCTCCTCCTCGTCCTCCTCGTCCTCCTCCTCCTCGTCCTCCTCCCCTCCGTCCTGCTCCTTGCCCCCGCACATTCTCTCGCTCCCTCTCCCTGTCCTCCTGCTCTCCCTGACCTACTCCAAGTCGGCAGCGACGTGCCTGGCAGCGTTGTGAAACTCACAGTCCTCAAGGAACTCTGACTCTAGCGCGCGCGTGAGCTGACTGAAGCAGCAGCATACCGGCTCCATCCAAGTCAGCCTGCAGCGCATGGCGTCAGAGCAGATCGCTGACCGACGGCACATGCTGGAACTCTTCACCTTGTGCAAGGAGAAGGTGTCGTTGCTGTCAGAACGGCAGAGGTCGGTGACGTGACTGACTGGATGCTTCAGTGTTCGCATCTCAAGGACCAGGAGTTCTCTACGATCATCGATGAATGCATCTCTCTCTGGACCGACATGCTTTTGGCGGAGTCTGAGGGAATGGAAAGAGCGAGGTGGAGAGCTCGGACGTGTTTCTGTCAGTGTTGTGCTGCCTGACTGACTTTGTGTTGTGTTGTAGTTGTTCTTACCAGATTCTCAAGTCCGACTGCCTTGTTCTTCTCCAAGAGCTCTCCGACCATCTTGCATCTGCTCTTACAAGTTGTCAAGTGATGCCGCTCCCTCCAAGACTGACAAGTCACGTTTCCATCCGCCTGACCTGCTGGCAGAGCGAATTGTCCTGGAAGCAGAAGATGATGGAGAACCTCGAGGAAGCTGCCAGGTACCCGATCGAGACAGCGGAGGACATGCGGTAACGCTGGGGAGAAGGCAGAAGGAGGTCCAGCAGCGCGCGAAGGAGGAAGAGGCGGAGAGAGAGAGGAGAAAGTTGCAGGAGGAGAACGCAGCGATGAGTGTGGAGTTGGAGGACTTAAGGTACTCGAAACCTCCTCGTCCTCCATGGCATGACCGGATCCCTTCCCCCTGTAGGAGCACAGCAAAGAAATATCAGAGCGCAGTGCAGAACTTTGAGCACAGGGCGGTAGGAGCGATGCGAGGGAGGTGCAGTCGGTGAGGAGATGGTGCAGATACAATCAGTGATGAAGGAGAGCAAGATGCTGCAGAACGAGATCGACAACTTGAGAGACCTGGGAAAGAACTTGAACGAAGAGATCTCGTTCCTCAAGCGAAGGAATGAGGAGCTCGAGTACGAGAACAAGGGGCTGCACATCGAAGTTCGCCGGCACAAGTTGGACCTTCCGCACCTCTCCTGCTCTCCTGCTTCATGTTTTCATTCTCTCCTCCTCTCCTCCTCCTCCTCCTCCTCCTCCTGTCCTCTCCTGTCCTCTCCTCTTTTCTCCTTCTCCTCTTCTGCTTGACAAATCGACGCAGAACTGAGCTGGAGGCGTCAAAATCTCAGTACGTGGACTTGCATGAGAAGATCTGCTTCGCTCTCGAGCCCATCTACAGCCAATGCTGCCCTGACGGTCATCACATACCTCCTCTTCCTGATGCTCCTGCTCCTGCTCCTGCTCCTGCTCCTGCTCCTGCTCCTGCTCCTGCTCCTGCTCCTGCTCCTGCTCCAGTTGAAGTTTTCCTCCTTCAGCTTCGCCTGAGAGGAAACCAAACCTCGAGGAGATGATCGTCGGGCTCCAGCAGGCAGTGCCAGCGTTGAGGCGGGCCTGCGATGAGCTGAGAAATGACGTGAGCCCGAGAACGCGCAGAAGCGAAGAGAACGTCACAGAAAGGTTGGTGCCATGCCAGCTAGCTCTGGTGCTTGTGCTTGTGCTTGAGCTCCTGCTGGTGCTTGGGCTTGGGCTTGGGCTTGGGCTTGTGCTTGGGCTTGGGCTTGTGCTTGTGCTTGGGCTTGGGCTTGTGCTTGGGCTTGGGCTTGTGCTTGGGCTTTTGCTTGTGCTTGTGCTTGTGCTTGTGCTTGTGCTTGGGCTTGTGCTTGGGCTTGTGCTGGCTTTGTCTTATTGTCTTGACATGCTCTTCAGGTTGCAGGCTTGTTGCCATCAGCGAGGACTGGCTTCCCTCGAGCATCTCTGCCTCTTCCTCGAGCAGTCTCACGACGCCTCCTCTTCTCACAACCACCAGCGAGAAGCTCCTGCTGCCGTGGGTCAAGCGGGAGGGGGAGGTGAGAGCGACAGAAAGAAGCTGGAGGAGCGGCAGGCGAAGTTGGAGCAGGTTGGTGCGAGTTTGCGATGTGCTTACATTGAGAGAGAGCGCAGGAGAATTGGGAGCTGAGAGAAGAAGTTCGTGAGCTGCAGGGCTACATCAAGGCCATGCAGGAGAGCCCCGTGAAGAAACAAGGTGAGGAGGAGGAGGAGGAGGAGGAGGAGGAGGAGGAGAGGTTGTTGCGTGTCGAGTGAGTATGCGGTGGCAGGACCAGCTCTGGGATTGGCATGACATGGGGGGAAGGGGAGGAGACGGAGGGGGATGGGAAGGAGACGGAGGACTGACTGGCACAGTCGGTAAAGTAGCACGTGTAATGACTTAGCGTCGACGAACTTCAGGAACGTACTTGTTCACAGTCTTCCATTCGTGTTTTGTGTCCCGAGAGTTTCTCGTGCCTACC